ATTATATTCTTAACTACAAGCCTCTCTGCACATCATCATAGCTTTAATATTATTTAATATTTTTATTATTGTTGTACTTTTAATCAACTTTTCACCTGAGCAGCTTCTGATTAACATTAGGTGTCTTTGCAGGACAYTTTCTTTAGTTTATGAAACTAAAAATAAGCATTAAAAAAACAAGCAAACAAATTAAAACATTTCAAAGAAAAAAATAATAATAAATGTGGGGGTACAATGTTACTCTTATGACCAACTATTATGCTGGCATTAATTAATATATCATTAAAAATCAGTTATGGTTCAACAAAAAGGATAACACTGAATATTTTCTTGACAACAAGCCATGTAGTCTCTATACTAATTGTTTACCTCTACTCTATTCTATTAAACATGGACATTTTATACAATGTTTGTTTGAAGGKAAAAGGTATTTAGTTAAAAATATAAGTTGAACAGCATGATTATRTTRCCTTTAATAAAGAAATGACATRCAGCACTTGATSTCACCAAATAGTCAAATGTATRAACGTTTAATAAACAATAACCWTTTAAATTGTTGYAATGTGTTACCAGCTTTTTGTTTMCTATTATCACATTTTTAGGGCAATAAATAACATTTTCAGAACTATTTTTTATAATGTATACAAAGACTGAACAGTTGTCAGAGATCAACATTTATTTTTGAGCTGTCTGGGTTTTTAATTTATTTTTTTGCTTTGTAATACAATTTGTTTTGTAAGTCCTCTGCTTTTCTTACCACCCATAAAACTCAGGAAGTTGCTGATGCAGACCCAGCAGGCCCATCTTGATCCTGATTCTGGTTCTGCTGGAGGTTTCTGTTGCTAGAAAGTGTTTCCTTCCCACTGTCGCCAACATGCTGCTCAGGATGAGAGATTTGCTGCCTTTCAGACGGTGTTCACTAACTGACATATTAGAATGTGAATGGTTTCATTTATACTGCACCAATGACTTTTGTTGTGAACTGATGCAATGCAAAAGTAGAGAGCTTTAAAATTAATCATCTGAGTAATGAATATTCTAGATTATCATTTAAATAAAAACAATACAACAATCATCAAATGAGATGATCTTTTGGAAAAACAACTGTACTTAGTACAGTTGTACTGGCTGCCATTTACTGCCAGAGCAACAGCATCAGTGCTCAGAAAATGCTGCTTTCAGATGATCCCCCGGTTTGTGCTTTGAGGGTTACAGATTCCTAATAATGTCTGTCTTAAAACCCCCCTTTGGTTCAGATGCCACTGTAATAATTCACATATTTTGTTAACACTTTGTCAGTGACCTCTTGTTCTCCTTGGATATACAGTTGTCAGCCAGAAAAATCCCACTCCCACCAGGAGAAAATTGTTTTACAACAAGATAATCACTCAGAACAACTTTGTATTGATTTGTGGTCACCTTTCCTCCTAAGAGGACAGGTGCACTCATGTAAAAAAAAAAAAACCTCCCACCCAGTCACTGTGGGACTAAAGAGTTCAGCTTTTACCTTTAACTCAAACCATCTATTAAAGATTATTAATGGCAGAAATCTAAAGGCCACATGGAGTCTGTTTGGATTCAATACATGCAACAAAACAAAGCTTATTTCCTTTTATTCTAAAAGTGACATTATTGACATAATTGCTTATTTGACAAACACCAACACAATTTTGGTAAATGGTAAATGGACTGTACTTATATAGCGTCTTTCTATCCATACAGGACACTCAAAGCACTTTACACTGCAGACATTCACCCATGCACAGACACATTCACACACTGATGATGGTAAGCTACATTGTAGCCACAGCTGCCCTGGGGCGCACTGACAGAGGCGAGGCTGCCATACACAAGCACCACCGGACCCTCTGACCACCATCAGTAGGCAAGGCGGGTAAGGTGTCTTGCCCAAGGACACAACGACTGAGTCGACTGGATGGGAATCGAACCGGCGGCCTTCCGGTTCCAGGTCGACTCCCCTAACCACTCTACCACAGCCGCCCCAGACCTTCTGCACAGTCACACCACTAAAACCAAAGTTTACAAGCTCTTATTTTGCAGCATCTTAATAAATTGTCATTTAACTTTATGTTTGAGCTGTGTGCACATTTCTTCATACTCAGTTACTTTTAAAAAGATGCACATAATACAAACTGTAGCAGCAACATCTTGAAGCTGCAGGAACCCAAAATACACATAAAATATTAGACATTATTATTATCATACATTATTTTTGCAGCATGTGATTAGACAACCAGCCAGTGCAGTTTTGTCACAATATAAAAAATGCACACATGTTTTTTTTCTGCAGTAAGATAAGAGATTCATAAAAACATTGATGATTGTTGATTTTAAATACAGTAATAAACAACTGATATTTAATCTCTTAAAATCAGAATACCTTAATTATACTTGAATTAGGACTACCATTTTCCCTCAGGTGATCAATAATGCATCTTTCTATTTTTTATTTTTCTATTACACAGAAACTCAACTTACCACAATTTATGACACATTTTAAGCTTTGTACTGACAATATAAGTTAGGATCAGGATGCGTAAAATGATCATTTTTGCACAGAGAGCTAAACTGCTCTAATTCACATACAATAGTGAAAGAAGACTCACCCAGTAGTACTCTATGATGAGGATACCATGAAATGACAGAGAGGCTGCCTCCTCTCCAAAATAAATCTGTACATTCATGTTAATAAGTGGTATTGACTTAAGGCTTTGTTTTCTAATCAGCTATGAGCCAAGTTTAACTAAAAAAGTGTTTGTGTCGCAAAACCCAACAGTTCTGAGTAAAGTCTGGAGACACGCCAGTGATTCGGATTAAAATGAGAACAGAGGATTACTGAGCAATAGTAAATACTTACGTATAAAGCTTTTATGCTTCAAGTGAAACAAATTTCTCAAAGAAATCAAAACAGTAATGGAAATTATTGAAACATAAATAGTAATAAATGYGCCCAAAACTGGCATGATGTTCATTGTTCTTAAGTAGTCCTTTTTTTTAAATAGCAGTGAAGTCAAAGTAYATTTTAGGAGAATAGCCTTCATTTATTTGATGATACCCCAAAGGAAAAGGAATTATGAACAATATGGTTAATGCATTTTTACAAACGTTTACAAAATTTTATAAAACATAAAGCTATTCTGTTGATTGACAGASGGATTGGTGCTGTGTCTGCAGTGATGCGGGCRCTATACCGGTCTRTCAYGGTGAAGCGGGAGCTGMGCCAGAAGGCAAATCTCTCGGTTTACCSGTCGGTCTGAGTTCCTACCCTCATCTATGGTCACRATCTTTGGGTAGTGACAAAACRAACAAGATCACAGATACAAGCGGCCGAAATGAGTTTCCTCCACAGGGTGTCTGGGCTCTMCCTTASAGATAGGGTGAGAAGCTCAGTCATTCAGGAGGGACTCAGAGTAGAGCYGCTGCTCCTCCACGTYGAGAGGAGCCAGTTGAGGTGGCTYGGGCATCTGGTTAGGATGCCTCCTGGATGCCTCCCTGTTCTGGGCACATCCCACTGGGAGGAGACCCAGAGGAAGATCCAGGACACGCTGGAGGGACTATGTTTCTCTGCTGGCTTGGGAACTCCTTGGGATTGTCCCRGATGAGCTGGCCCAAGTGGCTGGGGAGAGGGAAGTCTGGGTGTCTCTGCTTAGGCTGCAGCCCCATGGCCTGACCCCAGATAATCGGAAGAAAACGGATGGACGGATAAGGCAATTCTTATTTTTAGGGCAAAAATATGAAATGATGCAATGCAAAATGATGTAATACTAAACAATACTCAATACTGAATACTCGATACGATACGATATGAAACGA